TGGTCTGTACGACAGGCCTGGGTGTAATACATATATACGCTCTAGTGCTACGATCACGTGAAGGCTGTGCGAATAATCGCGGGTCACCTACGAGTCGGAACCACCTAAAGTGGTCTGTACGACAGGCCTATGCACCTAGCTTGGATCCAAGCTGAGCGTATGGTGCGGGAGGTGAACAACACGTGAAGGACTGTGCCCTACTCTGGGCGGGAGCACTAACACCGGGGGTGCAGGTTATGAGCTCTCTAAGCATCTCTAAACACTATGTAGTGCAATCGTTAATTAACGCTTACCTGGCACTTACCTATGCCTCCACAGCACCCACACATAAATATATATGACATATGCATATGTATATGTATGCCACAAATAATGCATGCAAAGATGCATAAACGATAAATAATAAAGTGCATGGCAATAGGCAAATAACCCTTTTTAATTCAATTTCTGGGAATATAAATGTATATAGGTATATACGGAAAACAAAAGCCCACTCACTGGTATGTAGAAGGGTCGTAGCCCCCCTGTCTCGCGTGTGCACGCTCGTCCTCTGGGTACGTGTCACCTAGATGCGAAACAACTATAAAAACGTTAACTTTAAAGCACATAACCCGTTTCTCGTAATAACTTCTCATACATTGCTCAAAATGGACAAATGAATATACCCACGTGCTCTACACAACCTCAGGATCACAACCATATTTTTAGAAAAATTTTTGGACCCCGCACGCGCCCCCACGCGCCAGCACAGGCACGGACCTACGCGCCCCCACGCGCGGCCACGTGCCAGGCACACTGACGGTGTCAACAGACGCCGTCAGGAATATTCCGTCAAACTGACGGAATATTCCGTTAAATCTAACCGGATGCCGTCACTGCCGTTAGGAATATTCCGTTAAACCTAACGGAATATTCCCCTTTCTTCTCCGGCCTACCCTCGCCGGACTCCGGTCGCCGGAAACTGGGGAAAACTTTAAACTCACTAATCTCCCTCGTTTCTCAACCAATTCCTATGATTCTTGGACCAAAAGAACGCCCTAAACTAGTAGAATCACGCTATACAACTTTTAAAAGCTAAAAGCCGCGCGATCATACCTGTCTCAAAACTCAAAAATCGGCCAACTTCGAACCAGGCCTTCCCGACGTCCAAATTCGTCCAACGAGCTACTCCGAGGCTCCTTGGGACCTCACCAACACATCTACAAGCTCAGAAAACCCAAAAACTTAATGTACAAACTTTGCATGAACAGTACACAATTCGGACCACTTCGAAACGACGTGAAAACTAAATGTTTCTCACCTGAAAATGCTACGGTTGTGTTCCCCTCGACCTCACGAGCTCAAATATGTCCTTGGTTTCCTCGATCCGTTAGTGTTTAGGGTGGTTGTGGGTTTGTCCGTACGTTTTCGAAGAGGAGGAAAAGGAATGGGGCTCGGGGAACTCACAGAGAGAGAGAGACAGAGGGAGACAGTGAGACAGTGTGTGTGTGTGGCCCTCAGCTTGCCAACACCACACAAAACAACCAAAACCAAATAACGAAACGAACTAGGGGCTAAAATGTCATTTCACTAGTACGTTTTTTAAAAATCCCGGGACGGGATGTCACATGTTCTCAATAGTAAATGTGCACACTATTTTTCTAGCTATAAATTTGTATATGATTTGCTATGTACTTTTTTTTATATGAAAAAAGCCTTTTTTGAATGCAATATGAATTACATGGTATGTGGACAAAATTCTATATTGGCGTAAAAGACTTTTGGCTTGCGATACTGCATAAGGATTGCTTGGCTAAGGAACTTGAAGATTCAAGACCTTTTTCGGTTCTCTTTTCCGTTTTGTTGGTGTTTGGAATGATTCATTTTTATTATTTTTCTTCTAAATGCCTAACAATCGGTAATCTAATTGTATCATTACTTTATGTTAATTCAAGATTTTAGAATAATTGAGGTGGTCATCTCTAATGTTTTTATTTCATTGTCAATACCAATTAAAATATTATGTGCAAATGTTTAAAATGCAATGCAATATCTATGACAAGTGATTTGATCATACATAAATGAGTGTAGTGGAGTAGGATTTAAGCTTCGCTACTCAAATAGTATTTCTCCAAGTTGAATGAAATTTGCATTCTATTGAGAATAATAACACTTATACAATGGTGTCAGTTCCATGGTTGCTGAAAAGACAATACAAGAAAAATCAAAGCAATCCCATAAGAAAAAAAATGTGAAGAAAGCTACAAATGATGCATTTTCCTTTGGATATGACTATTTTTTTTTCTTATTTTTGTCAATGTATGTACACTTTAATTACTACATACTATAATGCAATTTACACCTCAACTCATATTCTCATTCAAAAACTCCGTTTGCAGTTATGGAAACAAGCATTAGTGTTGTGGTGCTATTGAATTGACAAAGCAATTTGCGGTGGAATGGGAAAGTGTAACATATATGTCTAGAAAAAATAGTATATATATTATATTATGAAGCCACAAACTTATCAACTCATTTTTAGCAAATTTTAATAAGATAAACGGCAAGGAAAAGATGATACATATGAAATATCTTGGTTCCTTGCTGTATTTCTTCCTTTATTCATTACTAGCTTTTTCTAACGTGGTTTCGTACGTGCAAAGAGTCTTTTTTTTTTTTTTTTTTTTCTCATGCATTTTACATGCGAGTTAATTATGTTTTATTTCCTTTTATTTTCAATGTATGATATATTTTATTTTAAGACGCAATATGACAAAAAAATAGCTAGCACAACACATCTCAAGGGGCGATAGCACCTATGATAAAAAAAAATACCTCTCACATAAACAGGTAGGAACATACAACATACTACCTTTTTATAGTAAGAACACCTTTGTATAGGTGTCAGCTCTTCCGTTGGCATGTCTACTTACTGTTTTTTATAGTAGTCTAGGCGAGTACTTAATGTTTTCATCTACTCTTCTTTTATTTACATCTACTTACTATTGTTTATGGACTTTAGGTAGGAACTTGCATCCAAAATCCCATGTTGTTTGACAATTGTGTAAATAACATTTAAATCATTACTTTACACAAAGTGAAAACGAAAAACATGACAACTTTTTAGGACGTGCATGATAAAGAAAAAGTTCATCTTTGCACAATACATCTAAAATATATCTTAATAATTACAATGGAAAAAAAAAACTAATGCAAAATCTTCACAATTACATTAACATTTCTTACTATTTAATTTTGTAAACATGATAACGTCCTAAAAAGTTGTCATGTTTTTCATTTTCACTTTGCGTAACATTTAAATCATTACTTTACGCAAAGTGAAAACGAAAAACTTAACGACTTTTTAGGACGTGCATGGTAACGAAAAAGTTGACAGACAGTCTAGCAAGAATCAACTAATGCAAGAAAACATTTAACCCATGTTGTTTGACAATTGCATAAATAATATTTAAATCAATACTTTATGCAAAGTGAAAACGAAAAACATGATAATTTTTTAGGACATGCATGGTAAAGAAAAAGTTCATCTTTGCACAATACATTTAAATTATATCTTCACAATTACAATGGAAAAAAACTAATGCAAAATCTTCACAATTACATTTAACATTTCTTACTATTTAATTTTGTAAACATGATAAAGTCCTAAAAAGTTATGTTTTTCGTTTTCACTTTGCGTAACATTTAAATCATTACTTTACGCAAATGAAAACGAAAAACTGAATAATTTTTTAGGATGTGCATGGTAACAAAAAAGTTCCTCTTTACACAATACATTTAAATACATTTAAAATATATCTTGACAATTACAATGAAAAAAAACTAACGCAATACACATTTAGGGGCGCGTAGCGCCCGTGATGCAAAAATGTCTGCGTGCGGAGAGGCTAATATATTCATAAATGAAACAGACAATAAACTTAAAGTCAAACTGAAAATTATATAATTAAATTAATCTGATCATCCAAAAACGCCTTGGCTTTTTTCTTCTTCAGAAGACTACATATTTATACATAATGGGCAGGTGCAAAAAGACTAAGTTAGATGATTGAACATAATAAAAAATTGAAAATAATAAGAAATTGTTGTGATGGACACAAACACAATTTATAAAATAATCACTTAAGAAATATAAGAATATCTAAAACAACACATCTTTGTGGCGCGTAGCGTCCGTGATGCAAAAATGCCTCTTGCACGCACGTTAGTGCGTGCAGAGAGGCTAGTAAGAGCATAAATGGCAAGCGGAGTACCAAGGTGCTCAAGCTCAAACAACAATAAAGTCATATCTCACTAAGCATTCTAAAAATCTTGTTTGACACTCCAAATTTTCTATAATTAGAAAGAAAAATACACTTACAAGGAGTGTATAATGAGATTTTTGAAGTGTTAATAATAGTTCCATTCTCTAAGAGATGTTATTGTTTCCCAATTTGAATTTAGACATCACAAGGGAGAGTGATTAAATTTGAAAAGTAATTAAAATTCAGTAATTGGAAGAGCTTCGTCATAGTTTGGTGTTGCTCTTGCTTTTTCCTAACATCACGTTCCTCCATAAACACCAAAATCATCGGGGTTCAACGAGGGTCAGATACGTAATAGGGACTATACTTTGAGCTTCTATACCTATCAACCTCTACTTTTCACAATTGTATTTTTCTTTTTGATTATAGAAAGTTTGGAGTGTGAAATGTGATTTTTAGAGTGTCAATAACAATTCATTCTCTTTTTTTTTGTCAATATAATCGATAAGTATGTGGCAAGACATGATTGGTTGGTTTTTAAGTCTTTAAATGTAACTTTACACTAGGAGTAAGTCCTTCAGTTATAATTTGTCCACCATGTGACTTTTCCAAAATCTCTTGAAAAACCTAGCAAAGCTTATACCCAAACCAACCTCTACTCATTCTGGCTGACTTGTCACCTCCTTATTGGCGGAACTACAAAAATTCCACGTCATAAACTCTTATTCAATTAACAATAAAGAGAAAATTTCATCCATATCGTCGTCTCGACAGGATCTAATTGTTAGACAGTAAATCGCGAGGGAGCGCGAAGCAGATCAGACTTTCCTTGGAAATGGCGGAAGAACTCAAAACGTTGTCGTCCAGCTCGCAACCTTCTTCTACACCGAATTCCCCCGAAGAAACTCTGAAGAAATCGCAGGTTCACAAATCTCAATCCGAATTTCCCAATTTCTGCAAACAATTTTCAATCCTAGGGTTCTTTCCTTCAATTGAAAAGGAAAAGCATGCAAATTGGTGTTTAAAAGCTTCAATCCAATAAGGGTTTTTGATTTCTTATCCTATTTCGAATTAATGGCGGCTATCAATTTTGGCTTTCTAGCTTTCGTTTTTCCTCTTACGTGATTTCTTCTTTAAGCTATTTATTCAGTGTGTGTGTGTGTGTGTGTGTATCATTGACAAATTGTTTGGATTGCAATTATTTTCTTTGGTAGCTAGGACATTATAAAAATATGTTTCTCGGGGAGGGATGGGGGTTTAGTAAATAGATTGAAGTTAAAAAACTCTGGGTTTTCAACCGAATTATGAAGAAAATTTAAAATGCTGTGGATGGGGGATTTTCTGCTTTTAATGACAATATTCACGGATCACCGTGAACGATTATCATTGTTAGCTTTTTGTTTTTGTTTATTCCTTATGTGCTTAATAGTAAGATTTTTTGGGTTATTGTACGTATAGGAAATTGGAGTTCTTCTGAATTTTTTATTTTTTTTTGTTTTGGTATAAATTTGTTGAGATTATGCTTTTTTGTCACCGTCATGTTAATTAGTAGAAATAATTTCTTGGTCTTTTCTTGATTGGCCTGTATCGACTTTCATTCTAACCTTATTTTGTGCTTGCAAGAAAACGGGGCTCTGAGTGTTTTAAACGTGCCTTTCCTTTTGTCGTTGTGTGGTTATGCATAGGCGAGTGAGGAAAATGCACGGACTTCGTAATTCTTATTTATGTTTTATTTTTCTGAACATTAAACAATTGAGTAAACCTTCTCTATTTCAAGAATTCTCTATATCCAAGCTAATTTACTATTTTAAAGAATGGATGGATGGTGGAAAGATGAAAACACACATTTCCGGAGAGCATCTTATGTTTGTAGTTGAAGGACTGGTATTATGGAGCATAATTCATAGTTGTGGAGGCAGAAACAAGTGTATAATTATATAGCAAGGCAACTATAATTTGTACTCCTATCTAAAAATACAATATCGTGAAAATATGATAACCCTTTGATAATTTGATATCAGTAGTGTGGTTGATGGATAGGGTTTTTTTAAGCTTTCTTCTCATCCTTTCGTAACCTGTTTGTTTTTCCTTTTGAAGATAATCCTTTGGTCACTCATTGAAGCAAATATATCTTTCTTTAATATGTGTTCGATAATTGTACAATAGCCATATCAATGTGGAAGCTTCTTTTTTCTGCATTTTCCATTGAAAAGGAAAAGAAATGCAGACTAATGCTTCTAAAGTTTTTAGCAGTTTAAAGAAATAGTATGTGCATGCTCTTTGTGATGGCATTAATGCGGTGGCTTTGGCTATGTTCCAATTCACTTTTTGACTTCTTTTTCAGGTTCCAGCACTCTCTGGGCTTCCATCTTTCCCAAATGGTGATTTTCTGATGTTACCAGTCATGTATCCTCTTCTTGTTCCTGGGTTAAATCCTTCGCAAGATCAGGAGCAAATGAACCGTGGAGCAGGCATTTATGCTGTTCCTGTTCACCCATTTATGGGGCCAGTTACAGGAGCTCCATTAAACACTCTTATTCCTCTTACCTACAACATACCCACGTAAGTATGTCAATGGTACTCAAGTTAATTTCACCGTGACACAATCTTCTAATTCTAAACCATCATAATGATGTTTAACCATGATTTTAACATAGTAAAAATTCACTTTCCTACCTAGCATGATAGGTTATAGTAAGGAGCCTTATGCTGATTATCCTTATTTTCTTACCATGAATGTATGGGTCCCTCAGAGCTAGAGCAAGTCCAGAGGTTGGCACTGTAGGGGAGCAGCAAGGCCAAGAGGGACAACAACAACAACAACAACAACGTCAACAGCCTGGACCTCAGAGACAAGTTGTTGTTAGGAGATTTCAGATTGCATTTCAGCTTGATGTGTTGCTTATTATAAAGCTTGCAGCTGTAATATTCCTGTTCAACCAAGATGGATCTAGACAAAGGCTGGTTCTCCTTGTGATTTTCGCTTCAATTGTCTATTTGTAAGTAACTGAACTTATAAACATTTTTAATATGAGGAGATTTATGTTATCTCGCTACTAATATAATATGTGACTTTTGTGATTTTTTTAATTAAGAAAAAAGCTAAAGTTGGGTTCTTCTGTAATTGACTTTCTTTTGACCAAAAATACTATTGGAAATTTCATGGATGGAAGCTGGATTTCGATGATTTGATGATGTTGGATGTTGCAGATATCAAACTGGCTCGCTCACACCATTAGTACGATGGCTTTCTCAAGGCATGCATAGGGCAGCTGTGCCTCCCCATCCGCCCAGGGCAGCCAGGGCCGGGAATGTTCCTCCTAATGCAAGGCAGGGGGTTGACAATGCTGCTTTGGCAGGTAATTTTGTTTGTTGTATGCTGAGTGTGACATGTGCTTTGGATGACACTTTCACATATTGCAGTTCACAATGAAGATGCATATTACTCTCTGGATAACAATTTTGTTTGTCGTATGCTGGTGTTTTCGTATGGAAAGGTGTTTTAAATTAGGTTTAGTTTAGCCTCAACCCTTTCTGAGGGTTGGTGGAGGTGGATATTGGTGGGGCTTTAGACCAAACTTAACAGTAAAAGAAAGCATGAGGGCCTGTTTGATTACCATTTGGTTTTTGCTTTTAATTTTTGTCTTAGTGATAGAGGGGAAATACATAAGGGAAAGGCACACAAAAATGAAAACTAAAAGCCAAAAACCAAAATCTTTTTAAGTTGTTTTCACTTTCAAGATTTTGTTCTCGCTTGTTCCTTATTCTTCTACATCTCTCCCACCAACCTTCTTCGCCTCCCACTTCCCCTATGTATTTCTTATCTCAATCACAAAAAGTGAAAACCAAAAACCAAAAGCAAAAAGCAAAATGATTACCAAACGAATCCTAAGATTTTCTTTTTGGTTACAAGATGGGTTGAACCTAGGATCTATCCTCAATCCCACCTGATGCCACTTGATTTTCGAGGTTCTTGGGTTGGTCATTGAATACATGGTTGTAATCCTATTTGTTTGACAAGATTGTAGTGCATTCCCTCAAATAATAAAAAAATTAAACAAATAAAATATAAATGAAAAATTATATTGTGGACTTTTGTGCATGATGCATCCCTGTAACATCATTGGTAGGCGTACGCATATCTAGTTTGAACTTTGAAGGACTCTACTATTCTTCCTGAATACCGATGAACCATATCACTCTTTGCTGTTTATTTAGGTCATATTTTGCTTATCTTTACTAACAGTACAAAATGTGTCATACAATTTATGGCAGATGGACAGCCTGGGGCTGGGAACGATATTCGGCCTGCAGATGAAGGAAATCCAGCAGCAGAGAATGAGAATGCCCCGGCAGCTGATGAAGCCAATGGTGGTCACCAGTGGTGGGGAATTGTTAAAGAGATTCAGATGATCGTTTTCGGTTTCATCACTTCACTTCTTCCAGGTTTTCATAATATGGATTAGATATTTACGTTATAAGACGCTGGCGAGAATGCCTTTTAAGAGAAGCACAAATGAGATGTGAGTATAACTTATAATTCTCTCTGTATTTGGTGGTGCTGCATCCCCAATTGGGTGAGGGGTGGGGGTGCTTTTGAGTTTCCCTTCCAACACTTACGGTTTACCTCTCTAGTTGCTTAATCTTTCGTCTGACTAGTAGTCCTCTTGTATTTTGATACATTGATTTTTACTAATTACATAGTTTCTGTTTCGTGCTCATTGAATTTACTAACGAAATACGCCAATCTGAAACGCAACTACAGGAATGCTGAAGCGAAATATTCTCCCAGCGCTTTCCAACGAATTTTGAAACTAACAAATGCCAAAACAAGAGGAAATTGTAGCAATGACCCTTCAACTTTAACTCAATTGGAGTAATGGTCGCTTAACTAAAAATTCATGATAATTGGTCCCTTCACTCATCAAAACGTGTAACTATGTTCTTTTTCGTCACTTCTAAAAAGGAGCAAGGCAGCGTTATATGCCACTACTAGGCTGTAGGGCTTGGCACATAATTCCCTTAAACTTGTTGAACTATCAAATCACTAAAGCATCATCCCAATATGCTGAGTAACCGGATTGTGTAGCAAAATTCATTGACATTGCACTCCTTATAATACATTTGGATTCAAAGGTTATTACAGAAATTCATATGTACACGTCTGTCATAGCGACGGCCAAAACTGGATAGCGTAAGAGAAGAGAAGTGAACGAACTGAATTTATTTTGCACTAAATGAATAGATAAATACAAAACCTATATACAGGTTACAGTAAATAACACACACCTCACATCTCTGACAAAAGGTTGCTGATCTTCCGAAGCTCTGTTAGAGCTGCCATGGCCGTAACTTGTCCTTTGCCGACTAAAGTGTTTTTTGACAAGTTCTCCAACGACCCAACCTGAACACCCTGATCTTGCTGCAAAACAGACTCAATAACCTGCCAGATATGGTTAGTTAAGAGTCAATGATGCAGATATAAAAGATGATATGGTTAGAAGTGTCGTTCGGAGCAACTCTTTTTTTAAACCCTAAAAGTACACTTGGAAGTTGGAACCAACTTAGAAGAAAAACTATGGTCGCATGGAATGTTGTATAACCATTAGTGTCAACAATCAATCCTATAGATTATGTTTAGTTCATGGTTATTGCCCCAATCTAACCCCCTATTACCATTTTTCATTGGCCTCCTCCCTCTTTAACAATCATTTTGTTCATTCCTATATTAGCTAGAACAGAGAATATTATAGTGCTTTACTGCCTACAAGAAGCATTAAGTTCGAGGATGAGAAAAAAAACAATTTGTAGTTTACGTCCTCGATAAAGCACAACAAGAAATGTACCTGAATATTTTCAATCATAGACTGCCCAAGATTCCTTAAATTACCCGTCACATGCTGGTCAACAGCTTCTCCATTGTGGCTAACTAAAGAACTGCAGGACCCCTCGGCTACAGAAGAGCTTGTTGCGTTCTGATTACCTTCACAATGGGAAGACTTCGTAGCCTCAATGGCATTGTGTCCTTTCTCGGATGTCTCTTCACCAGCTGCATTCCATCCAAACTTCCAAAGTTTCTGGAATTTACCAGAAAGAAGTTTCCGTTCCTTTCCTGGCACTGAATTTCCGGGAGAATGATTGCTGCATTCAGATGTTTGGGAGACACCCTTTGGATGATCAGAAACCAGAAGAGGTGGCTCCTCTGACACACCCTGCAAATTATCATCATTTTCGTCAAAAGACAAATTTGATGCAACACTACTTTTTTCTGATTCAAGTTCATGACCAATTGCCCCAGTACGAAGACTAGTAGGATCTGACAAAACAGATGAATTTTCTTCACTGGCTGGATCTCCATTCAAACTTCTTTTCTCAGTGGCAGAATTAAGGTCCTTATTGAAACCATCTTCTCTGTTGACCTCTACTTCTGAAGAGAGTTTGTTTTCATGAGAACCCAATGTCTCAATATCTTCTTCTGAGCTGAGTTCTCGAGAAAGGTCTTGCAGCAACCTTCGTCTAACAGAAAACCTGGGGTTATTTTTGCCATTCTCTGATTTTGATGGAGATGGGTCAGATTCTGTTCTGGATAGGCTCAACTTTACTTTTTCTGTCCATCGCTTTTTCTGGCTTGGAACCTGTTTTTTCAAATCATCTTGCCTTATTTCTTCTTCCCTGTGCAGAACTCTCCACTTCTCTTCCCAGTAGCTTTCAGGCACTAGATTTATTGGTGCTTTTGGAGATACGGAATCAACTGAAAGGCTATGACCTCTTACAGTCATTGATTTACTATGTTCATAGGGCCCAAAATAGGAAAGTAATGAGGGTGAGCTATTGTTCTTCAAAGCAAGATCCTGCAAAGACTTCGCCTTTTGTATCAGTTTCTTCAAATCTATATTCTCGGGAAAATTTAACAATCTCTGAAGACATGCAGTAGCATTCTCAGTGGCAAGTAGGGAAGATCTCAAATAAAGTAACATTGAAACTGCCATGGCTGATATATATGCTCCTCGAGGTGAAGTAAGGATGGCAAAGCTGGATGCTGCATCATCTTCAGAACCTTTGTATAATTTACCATTATCAGATGCAAATATTTCATCCCAAATTATCAATAGATTTGCAAGTGAAAATTCACGTCCAAATAAAACCCTTAACCAGCGGAGTGCAAAATACTGGGGTTCAACACCAAGCTCAACAAGGTGGCTGTGTAGAGACGAATCAACAAGGGACAGCAAATGATACAACGCAGCAGATGCTTCAATGACAGGAGGTAAATTAGTATGAGAACCAACAGCAGGGGACGGATAGAAGAATTCTGCCATAGAAACTGATCCATGGGCCCCCCTCATTAGAGCATCAAACATATAGTACGCATCATGTTCCATAAATCTCTCAGAGAAAACAATACCCAGTTCACCTTCAGCACCATAAGCATCACTAAGCATCACAATGGTCTGTATCTCGGGATCAAGCTCATCAAGACTCTTAACATTCAATGCAGTTCCATCTAAGCCATTCTCATCTTCCGTGGAGTCAGGAAACTTTTTGAACTCAAAGTTGTATGTAAGATCACTTTCATGAAATGACAGACCATCAAATTTATCAGTGAAGTGATCTTCATGTAGCTTTCGCACTTGAGATAGACGCTCCACATCAAAATGAAGAACATACAATAAAGGAGCCAAGAGTTCATGCATTCCTATAGTGAAAACAGAAAAAGCAAAGAAAAACAGTTAAAATCCCAGCATCTTAGGTCACTGAAATTGTAAAATAATATTAAGAAAGCTCTACTTGCTGCCGCAGAAGTCAAAACTCAGAAAAGAAAAGACTGGCTAACTATCTGATTATCAAGAATCTCTCCCTACAAATCTTTCTGAGAGTATAAATTAAAATAAATAAACCTCAGTGTTAGTCATTTTGTGGAGACCGTTAGTACTTGATTTATTTTCTATCAGGATAAGGTGTGTAATAACTAAAACATGCATTATGCATTATAATATGAGATTGCAGGAACCATGCCATTCAAGCCTTTATACCAACCTAGCAGGTTCTACGCGATGTAGTGTGGGAAGTTGTGTAGTGCTACAAGAAACTTCGTAATAAGGAGAAATGCCGCAAGCCTGCAACATTGGTCCACCTATTCCTAATTGCATAACACGGCGAGACAAAGTGCTCTAAATGCCAAGCTCATAAGAATTAATCACTTTGAATATAAAGTAAAGTTAAATCACGAAACCACATTCAAGAGTCCCGCAGATAACCAAATATAAATGTAAAAAGAAAATTAATGCGGCATTGTAGTATACCTTGTCTATAACCACACTCTGGATATCTAAGACACCACAATAACAAGATTCTTCTCAACATGCCTTGGCATCCTGGTGTTTGAAAATAGCTTCCATGTTCTGGGTATAAACGTGATAAATCCTGATCAACCATTTTCTCCAGCTCGGCACTCCGGAAAAAGCGACCCCATGTGCTATCTACAGGTGAGATCACAATGGTGCAAATACTTGATCGTTAGTTGTTTACTTATTTTAGACTGTAATATCTCCAGGGGAAAGTTGTTTCCCTTTACAAAAGACAGTTCACTTTCAATTTCAAATATGTGATAGTTTTGGTCATTTCAACACAATGGGTACATATAGAAAGCTAAAAGTGATAAGTGAAACAAGCATTGCAGAGAAACTAATATAAATCAAGCTCAAGAAAATTGTAGTACAAGGTGCACATTGGCAAAATAACTGGTTAACATGCCCGTGCGCATGTTTATCTGCAGTGTTTCTACAGAGCTCCTACAGTTCACGTATGCGGATCCATAGACTTTACCTGGGTTTTGTGACAGCGGATTGTCTAAGGCCAGATCAGGGAAATTACTCCCATCCTTTTGGGGATGTGGATCAACCAGAAGGCGCCTTCTCAATCCAGCATATCTAAAAATGTACACAAGGTAAACTTAGCACAAGAAAACACAAACAAAAAATTACCATCAAATTGCTTGCAATCCAATATATATGCCCATACTCGGACAAATTCTTGACCTTCAAATTCAGTGACCCAATACAAGCAAAAAAATTCAAGAGGCCACCTTTTGAATCATAGAGATATACTACGTACGTAACAAGGTTTTACTGTTTCCAAGCTCTTAAGCAACACATTACAAAAATCCACGGACCATTAACGCAACCGGGAACCTTATCTTATAAACCCTTTAGAAGTTTTTAATTTTCCAAGATTACCGTTAACACCAACTTATCATATGCCTATGTGTTGATGAGAAAAAAAAAATATGATCAATAGGACAATCGTCAGCCAAATACGATTATCCTAGCAAAATCCATGCATAAAATCATTAACTCACAGAAACTTAAAACAACATTGAAGCAAATATATGCAGAAAACCATAAAGAGAAGCCAAAATCACCCTCTTCTACAATCAGCTGTGACCCGACGAAGATCATCAATGGAGGACGAAGAAGACGAAGAAGAAGAAGAGGGCAAAATCCCAAGATTAATACGCCACTGGACGCCTCTAAGCTCCTTGAATCGAGGATTCTCAGCCTCAGATATCTCAGGAACATCAGGGGAGCTCGAAGACGACGATTCGGGCAATGCCTGCTCAATTGGAGCTGGCGACATGGCTGTCTCGCAATTCTCCAAAAACCCAATTGCCAATTGGGCTGAAAACGATCGAAGTGTAAGCTAAGGAAAAAAAAGGAACGATTTTTGGCACAGTTTCTGGAGATTGGTGGGCAGAAACAGATGAACAGGGCATGAATGGAATTGGGTTTTTTAATGGGCCAATAGATAACTATCAGAGTATGAAATTTGGAATAGAAAGATGAAGAAATTGCCAGAGAGACGAAGAGAGAGAAGGCGTCATGGGAGAAAAAGGGAAGAAGCTACGGAGGCAGGACTTGCTTGTGAGTTGGGAGATGAGAATCAGACTCTTGTATTCAAGAGAAAAACCAATTTTTTAGCATTATTTTTTGCACATTTATTCCTTCAATTCACCAACCCAATCCGGAGAGAGAATAACAAGTTTGTTTCTTGAGTGAGAGAGAGAGAGAGAGAGAGAGAAGAAAAGGAGAAGTGCTTTATTATTATTTTTTTTTTTCAAAGGTTTACTTTATTTATAAAATAACAGATTACAACAGAAAAGGCCCAAAAACGAAATACACACAAACAAAAACATAGATCTCTATAGTAACCCAACAGCCCAAAACATAGTTTTGAGACCGAAACTGAAAGAACACCAAAGCAAACCCTAAAAGCTTCCAACCGCTGACACCGCCAACCCGCTTGCTGGACGAAGATCCCCTGCACACATCTGAAATCAAACTAGCCAGGGCCTCAAATTGGGATGAAAACTGAGCCACAATCGGGCCCCAAAACAGAGCCCCAAAATCCTCCACTGAAGAGAAGTGCTTGTTTGACCTCCAACCCTTTCGATTTAATGTTAGGAAGCTGCGGTGGGTTGTCGGCTTACACATTACTTATCATCATTTTGATGGTGAGGTGGCAGCAAGCCTGTATAAACTGGAAAGGGATCCTCTCTGGATCCCTTCCTCATAATCCACCAAATTAGTGAATCCGTACTATTAAAATTTGATCCAACGACTACAAATAAGGACCCACTTTAAAAGTTATAATAATTTCAGCCGTTGATTTGGTGGATTAGAAGAAAGAGATCTGAAGAGAATCTCTTTCTGTATAAACTCTCTTGTGAGCACACCTCGTTCACATTCATCACAAAGGGTCACAAGACAAAAAGACAATACAAATACAAGAGACAGTATATAACAACATTTAGACAATAAAGTATTCCTCTATTGGAGAATGTTGAAGTTTCACCATTACAACAATTAGCAATATGAAGAATATATTAATTTCTTAAAAGTACATGCAAGGTGCCTTATTTCTCAGATGTGAGATTCATACTCTCAACACGCCCCTCATGTGTTGGGAACACAAATTTGATGACATAGAGCACGTGTGGCTATTGGGCTTCACACAAGCGACCAACCTGCTTTAATACTAATGGGCTTCACACAAGAAACCACTTAAACATCTGCAGAAAATTAGGGTTTCCTTCAACCTAAGAGAAGGACATGAATACCCTTGAAAATAATAACAAAGGTATGGGGATATGTAGATGTCACTTTGGAGAACCATAATAGTTGTATGAAATATATTGCAAACTTTATGTAAATGTCACTTTCAAGGACCATAATAGTTGTATGAAATATATTACGAACCTTGGCAATAAAATGTTTAAAGTAATAAAAAATCTCAGATTTACGTTTCATAGGATAAATCCATAAATAACGGGAAAATCATCCATAAAAACCACATAATAATAAAAACCATTGGTATAAGTAATTGGAGACATCCACACATTAGAATGAATAATGTAAAATAATGAACCACAAATATTATTATGAGAATAAAAGGGTAATTGAGTGGACTTCCTAATGGCACTTACAAAAAGCTTTGTCAACTTTGACATTGGAACCCAAACTAGAACAAATACGAGACATGACGGGTGACGATGGATGACCAAGATGTTGGTGCCATATTGCGGAAGAGATGGCATAAGCTTGAGGAACAATAGAGATGGTGGAAGACAAAGTTAAAGGATAAAGGCCATCTTTACAGGGTCCTGAAAAAGTAATACCCTGGTAAGTAAGTCATAAATTTGATAAAAGTGAGGCGCAAAAACAAAGAAGACTAAATTATCTTGGGTTAAACGAGCAATAGATAGAAGATTTTTACACTGATCAAGAGGAAAAAAGGCATTGGGAAGGTGGAGATTAGAAGAACGAAGACAAATAGGGATGTTACCGGTATGGGTAATGTTTATATTATTGCCATTAGCCAAACATACATTAGAAGGACCTGCATAGGGCTGCATATAAGGAACGAAAGACGACTGACTCGTCATGTGATGGGTGACACCAGTGTCGGGATACCAAATTAGTTCAGGTTGCTATGCAAACTTGGCTCCAGCGAAGGGTAGGGCCTGATTCAGGTCCACTGTAGCGATGCGGGCAAGTCTGCTGGGTGTGATAGGAGGTGTTGCAATTATAATGCCATTGTGAACCGAGAAGACCTGTTGGAACTTTGTGTTTATTTTAAAAACCTAGTTATCGTTTTACTCAGAAACGTATCTCTCCTATTTTTATGGATGACCACTTCTTTTCTACCAAACAGATTTTGTTTTGAAGACAAAAGAAAAGACCTAATCTTTCTCAACTAGGTGATCACTTCCAAATTTTTTGGCATGATTCTAAGGCCACAGTTTCCTCAACTTCTTCAACGTTAAACTTAAAGAAAGCGACCGTGTCCACGACTCAACCGTTCTCCATTCTTTTGTTCTTCGTTCTTTGGTAATATTAATGTTCTTATTTTATAGTGCAGCAACAAGACCAGGGGTAGCTTGAGGCCTGGGAGCACGTCAAGTTGGTTGAGGCTGCTGTGGCAAGAAGGTTGGCCAAACAGCAGCAACGGGCTGTGGACTAAGCTAAAGTGGCTGATAGTACTAGATTGGGCAAGCAACAAGATAAGGTTGGAACTGATGAGGTTGTTGCTGGGCAGATTGCTGCCAATGTCTTTGACCACCACCACAAGAATTTGGGCCACGCCAGCCACCACGACGACTTCCTCCATCATGGTTGCTGCCGCCACCGCAACCCCTAGCAGACCGAGAATGGGAAAAAGACGATGGATTGACCATGATGAGGGCTTAACGTTGTGAATTTCGGAAGTTCTTTTGGGATTTTGTTGCTTAAAGATGAGAATTTTGGAACATAACTCGATGAAGGAGGGAAGAGCACCATTGATTAGTGTTTTGGTAAGCATCTTATAATCAGGTCCAAGGCCATGAATAGTCCACATAACAAGATCTTTATAAAAAAAAATAGGTGCACCGATTTCAGCAAGTTGATCAACAATTTGACTTCTTGGATATAGACACAGTGGTCTTCAAGCGTTTGGATAAATCCATGAGTAGCTGCATTACAATAAAGGTCTGAGAAAAGAGAGTATGAAGACAATCCTATAAAGCCTTGGATGTATCAGAACCAACAGTGAGATGAAGTAAGGATTCAGAGATCGTACTCATGAGATAGATAATCACCAGTTGATCATGTCGGTACCAACGAAGGTACTCGGGATTAGGGACTTGAGTAGGAGGGAAAGGATCGACTTCTATCCAGCATAATAACTACCAAAGCTTTGTGTTCCACAAAATGTAGCAAATTAGGATAGCATATATGTTATGATTGAAAAACCCATGCTCGTTCTCTCTCCATGCTTTTTACTCTGTGTTCAATACTAATGATTAGGACCAATACTGAAAACTTAGACCAACCGGTTGGTTTAGTGAATTTTCAACTTTTATTGGAATCTAAATATTTTTGAGTTAAAATATTCATAAAAATAAATTATGATAATCTACATAAATTTTATTTCAAAAAAAAAAGTTACCGAAATAAAATTTAGCCTAAATTCATTTTTTAATAATCTTGGGCTAGAATTTTAACCCCAAACTATTGAAGTAGAAAAATTATTTATAGGTAAAAACCTAATTTTTTGGATTAAAAATTTTAGGTTTTAACCCCAATGATTAGAGATGATTAAGAGAGATACGAGAGAATAAGAGAAGAAAAGAAAACAAATTGGGCCAAAGTAAGTAACGTGGCCCAAATAAAATATTAATCAATAAGTAAAGAAAATGACCATCTTAAAAAAAAACTCCACTTATAGTATAATTAATCAACTAAAAATAGTTATAAAGCTCAAACAAATTAATCATAATATTTAACAAATAGTTATTAAATAAATATTTTTAAGAATCAAGTCTTCACACATATTCTTAAGTCTCAACACACAGTCACAAAGGGCTAATGATTTATTTGATGTGATATAAAATAGCACTTAAATTAAACTCTCTTATTGACAATTGTAGTAAAAATGTAAGTAGAGATCGTTTTAGGCCGGGGATTAGGAGGGATTGCTAATCTACTTAAAACTGACTTAAAAACACAAAACTAGGCTTAAAACACTTAACTAGACTCAAAGAACTCAAAACAAACTAAAGAGACTCAAAACAGCACAAAATAATCAAACAGACTCAAACTAAACACTAAAGGTTGATTTTGACGAAAATTAATTTAAATTTGACTCAAAACACTTAAAAACACAAGTTTGGACAGATTCTAACTAATTTGACACAACAAAGTAAAGGGGATTGAGTTTTTGACAAATTTAAAACTTAAACAAACAAATTGTAGAAACTAAGTAAAGGGATACGAATTTGGGTGAATTGATGGGTGATTGGCTAGCTAGAGGGTTCTTCTCCACACATGACACACTTGCATACAAATTGATTTTCAGTTGCTTTTCCAATAAACCATGAACCTCAACGCCCCAGATTAACCGTGAACATCACTAATTAATCCTCAGATTTTCCTTAAGTCATTGAATTGGATGGACAACGCATTGGCAACCAAATTATTCTTCAATAATTCCCTACATGAGCAGCATAATAGAGATACAATCAAAGATCATTAAGCTTTGTGAAAATCATAAGCATTGACAAGGCATTCATAACTATGAACAGCATGATACTCCTGCTAGAAATTTACTTAACACGATTGTGACTAGTAACCTCGACTACTTATGAATATAAGTTCATAACAATTAGGTGAAACTCCCTTATATTCTAACATCAAATTCATGCATGCAAACTAAGTAGGCCTCCTTAATCAACATACAAAAATAAGTTCTGAATCAAACAGTTAAGCAAATTGCATTCACGATTTATGAAATCACAACTAGAAGTAATCAATTCATATTGCAAATATGTTCATGGCTTTGAATTTTCCTCTAGCTAAAACGAGTTTAGCTCCTCATTTTCACAATTAAACAAAGAAAACTTAAATTAAACATTGAAAACAAAAGTTTGAATACACCTAGAAACGCTCCAACAATCCAATAAGTCTTGAATGGCAGGTACGACTCCAAGCTATCCTCTCCTTCCTTGCAAAGCTGCGGCACAAGGGTGGTTGTGGTTGAAATTGGGTTATTGTGTATTATGGATGGGTTGTGTCGAAATTGTGGTGAATGATGGCTGAATGGTTGTATGGTTGGTTGGGGATTTGCGGCAGAAACATATCTATATAAAGGAAGAAAAGGCAAGGCGTTAATTAAATGTTTTGGGAAAGATTTGGACTCCAAATCCTCAAGGAAAAAGGCTAATTAAATTAGAATCCAAGAGGAAAAGGGAAAGAAAGGGTGCGGCAGATCCTAGAGAGAAAGGGAAAGGGATTTGCTGCAAGGAAATGGGTATTCTAGAAGGGAAAAAGTGCGACATCCCTCTTAGAATAGGATTAGGCCTTCTAGAACATATATTTAAGTGTCATAAATTAATTAGGGATCCTCTTGGCAGCTGAAACATAAGTAGGAAAAGATTAGGATTGACTAAGTCAAAATAAGGTAGTTTGACTCATGTCTCCTTCTTTGTAGCTGATTCCTTGTCTTCTAAGTCTTGAATTAATTTCTTCAACTCTTTAGCATATTCCTAGCCCTTCTTGAACTTCAATTTCGTCAATCCATCTTGTTCTATGCATGTGTTATCCAGTCCAAGCCCAAAACTGCTCTAAAATGCTCCAAAATGCCCTTTCTTGCCTCTTTAGCCCTTTGGTCCTACAAACACACGAAATGACCTACAAACACACGAAAATAGCTTAAATTACTATAATAAATAGAAACTAACTCACTAAATGTAAGGAAATAGGCTAACAAAGTCACATAAATATGCTCCTATCATTATGCAACAAAAAGCGATGGACTTGGATAAACTGGATCCACGACATAAAATAAAATAAAAAATTTAAAGTCTCACAAGGGATACAAATTAAGAAATGACGACTGAAGGAAATGTATCCGACACCTTGGTAATGAAACACTCTATCACTTCTACCACTGCTGCAGTTGCCACCGTAACACCACTACACCACTACACACATGTTAAGGTGATTTTACCTAACCTAGCCATTAGTTTGCTAATTGTACTCCCCAATTCGAAGTGGGAAATGCATCAATCAAGCAATATGATCAAACTTTGAGATAAATAGAAACCTTATAGAGAAGAGCTCACAAATACCAAAACCGATGGCAGGGGTTGGACTTGAAATGGCCCTAAAATGTTGGATCTTATCTAATGTTAAATATAATTAAAGCCAAAATCTTATTGTGTTTTATTTTACTGAAAATTTGATATTACCCCTTGAAACTATATTTTCCTCTACTAAAACTCATCTCCTTTTGTTTTCTTAAATAAAGCTCATTGACTAACCTTCAATTAAACAAATTCTTTAATTAAGTTTGACTTTTCAAATTGTGTATTTTTCGAATGCCTAAACTACCCCTATTAATACTTGGATGGGGTTTTTGGATCAGTTACTTGTTATATCCATTTAATTAATTTTATATATTTTACAAAATAATTCATGTCATTCATTGTATATTCAATGTATTAACTTTCAAATTGTTATAACGTGCTAATTGAAAAATAATAATACTAATTTCATAATTTTGTGCATTACATATATAAGTTAATTTACCTATCAACACAACAATAAACCTAAAACAGCTACGGCTAATATTCCAATCCCTAATACACAAAACAAAAGCTATATGTTCCGCACAATTCTTACCTACAAAATAGTCTAATTTACCTATTACATCAAACCAAAATTTAAAGGGTCTAGTTTACTTTCAAAATGGTATAATTTACCTACATGATTTATGTGCATTAGATTAAAAGTTTATTTAATTGCCTACAAGCACAAACCCACAACATTCGAACATCATCTAATATCACTAATTTTTTTTTTTTTTTGGAATAGGTAAATTAATTTAAATGTAGGTAAATTAGTATAATATTAATAAGTAGGTAAATTAATTTAAATGTAGGTAAATTAGTATAATATTTTATAAGTAGGTAAATTAATTTAAATGTTGGTAAATTAGTATAATATTTATATGTAGGTAATTACATGATTCAAAATGCAGGTTTATTAGTATAATATTTTATAAGTAGGTAAATTAATTTGTATGTAAGTAATTACATAATTCAAACAATATTATTTTTTCCGTACAAGATTGTCTTTCTCTTTTAAATTTGGTAAATTAATTTATATATGTTGCTAATATTTATGATACAAGAAAGGTAAAATATCTATATGGATTTAATTGCTCATCATAATTAGGATGAGTAATAACATTTATTGACCAAATTAGGATTCTATGGCATAAGTTGTAATTGTATTGTAATAGTTGGTCATATATTTGTCTACATGGTAGGGTATTTGAAATTTGGGTTTTATTTGAATGTTTAAATTTAGATGGTTTTTATTTGAAAAATAGGAGTTTCAAGCGTCTATATCTAAAGAACCCAAAATACTTACAAGCCATCCAATTGTCGTGGGCAAGATGACGATGGCCACAAAGGGTAATTAGGATCTGCAGATATCAGCCATGTTACCATTGTAACGTTTGCATCTCACCCTACGTTAGGGATGATTGGATCGACCTTTCTCCTTCCCTTACAGATTGTCTCATTCGATATCCCTCATTTAATATAACTAGAGCAATGCAACTATTATATTGAAGGAATGTCGTAACAGCATCTTGCTGCATTGGTGATGGAAATAAATTTGTTGCAATGAATTACAATTCATAAACAAACGTTTCCTGATGTGGTAAAATGGTTTTACCAAGTTTTCTTCCTTATAGGTAATAGATCATCTATTATATATAATATGGACTGAATTTGTTTCCTTCATAAACAATTTCTGAAATTCTTTTTCTATTTCTCTCATAATTTCAGTCAACGATGCTAAGCAAAATGAAAACAAGCCCATCAGATTAAGGAAGTCCAATCCTACTCATTGTTCCTTATTGTAGATAGTGTTGTAAGTACATTTTCCACATGTATGTAAATAGTATGGCATATCATATATACATTTAAAACTTTCTACATGTTTTGTACAGTTTGAAAACCCGCAGCACCACGCAGACACTCTTGTTAGTTACATCCTATAGCCATATATATCAAATTTCAGAAAGCATACCACCACAAAATCACTACTTTTACCTTTCCAGATGCAACCCTAGTAATCATAATTTACAACTTCATGTTTTTCTCTAAGGACATATGGGCCTCCCTTGCATTTTGAGGTTCATCACTACGAAATTTGCTCTGAAAATATCCAATGCCAGGGGTCTTGGGCATCTTTTAAATCCTGGTTGTTGATATATTTCTTATGGTATTATATTAAACAATTAATTGTCAAAGACTCAAAATACAAGATAAAATTATTACAACAAAATAAAAATCAACATACCTGGAAATCTTGATCACTATTTATAGGGGATTCCTTATTGTGAGATTCACACCTCAAACTTCTAGTCGTGTGTGACTTTGATGCATTGTTAATCTGATTAGCCAAACTGATACTCATCATCAAAACAAAATATCAGAATCACCAATATGTAAAAATATTGTTGAATTCAATTTAAAGTACCTATAAACTCGCAATTTCGATATGCGACGTAGCCTCATGCAGTACTTGCAGGTCCCACTTCACAAATTTGAGTGCTAAATATGTCTCCCTCTTACAAGTTTAATCAACGAAATTTTCTCTCACAACCAAAACTATTGACACAAAATATTTTGTAAGTGAACTAAAAAGCATATAGAATGATTTGTAAACCCAACACACAACATAGGATACATACCGGCAACAGAACAACACATCTGGATACATGTGATGGTTTCCCGCAATTCTTGACTAGTGTTTTTTCAAACAATTCGATGTTGCTTTTGCCCAATTGTAGTCTTCCATTGTTCGAACATCTTGACACTGCGAAGTTATGTTCCAAGAGATGATACTACAACTATTACAAAATAATAAAGAAGCAAACGCATTAGGCATACAAATCCTCGCGATTGTTGTGTTTTTCCTTTTTACTACATTAATCATGGCATATTCAATATTTTGCCTAGTACCTTTTTCAACTACTTTAAAATTTCTTTTAGTGAAACCTTCCTCACTTTTTGAACACTGTTCATTAAGATTGATATCCCCACCAAGGGCAATCTAAGCAACTCCTCAAAATCGGACCCTGTGAAAATTTCACACCTATCACCAAATTTGAATTCGGTTGTCTCAGCATTGAAATAATTAATTATTCTAATTATATCTACATAAGTCTTACTACACATAACTTAGCGCATCATAAGCTTTGAAAAGACCCCAAAATGGTGTTCCCTTTATAATTTTTCGATGTTCATCCTGAATTTTCAATTTCAAACCATTAAAAACATTCAAAAAGGAACAAATGCAGCTAGGTAATGCATTTTTCCAAACGGTTTCCTGTTGACTTCCATTTACAAATCTGCAATGAAAATAACAAAACAAGCGACAACATATCAAGCAGTGTGTGAAACCTCGTTCCTAAATTTCACTATTTTAAACTACGTATTTGTATTAACGAGATTTTATATTATTTTTGGGAATTTATATTAATTTTATTAAATTTAGAGTTTAATTAAACTAATTACGAAGTTTGAATTTTATTCAATAATCGTTAAAAATCCGTAGAGCTTACAAGGTCACACTAAGTATAAATGGATAGAGCTCTATCCTAGGAGCGCGTAGGCGAAAACTATTCGCGAATCGGAGTTGAAACCAAGAAATTAGAGACATTTTAGTTGTTTAAAAAAATAAATAAAAATTAGAAGATGCCAGATGGCAGCGGGAGAGAGGGAGAAAATGAGAGATGCGGGAGAGAAAAGGAGGGAGAGTGACCAATCAGGGGGAAGGAAAAGGAGAGAAGGCAGAGAGGATCCCCTTGACCAGCACGACCTGTTTTCCCAACCCGTTTTCGCGACTGTTCTGACATGATTTCCATCGGTTTTTCCATCGAAACGTCACCATCCACCACCTGCAACTTACTTAGCGACCTCCCATCTTCCATCTCCACCCAAACCTAAGGGTTTTTTGCCTCAGCTTCACAAAGAATAGCACCGGAGTGCTTGGGAGGTTCTCGACGAAGATTCGCCGATCCTGCAGGCAGCACCACTAACCACCACCCATAATCGACTCTCCTTGAACCCAGGAACAAGGCCCAGACAAGTTTGGGAGCGGCGGAGCATCGGGGAAGACGAATTAAGAACACCCATTTCTAGGGATTTTGGTGGTTCATTGCGTTTTCAAGCCACTCCCCGTCGAATTGGACCTCGGCCCAGGTATAAAAATTACTTATTTCTTAATGATCTTCATTTTGGTGTAATTTGAGAATTTTGGACTTAGGAATCATTTTGGTGGCGCGTGGCCCGAGGAATCATTTGATCATTTTAGGCTACATTTGATACCGCTGTTCCATATTTGACACTCGATTAGTGAAATTATGTAATTTGAACCTAGTTTCATTAAGGAATACCACTTGACCATTGTAGTGAATGATGATCCGACCATTGGATTGTCACCAAACTTTAGTATGTTCTTATACGTAGTATTTAAGAACTTTAGGAACTTATAGATCGGAAATCCGATGGACGGATCTTCTTGATTGGATCACTAGGATTGACTTTGGTCAAGATCTTCTGAAGCGTTCTTCAGTACTAAAAGTAGCAATACTAGAGACCTAGTAAAGCCTAATGGGCCTATCGTAGTTAGCGAGTTATCCCAGGTGATGTGCACCTTGATTTACATGCAAGTGGCACCTTATTGTGTTATACATGTTTATTAAACTTCTAGATGATACGAATAAATTGTACGATTGCTAATATAGATATGCAAGTGTAGACATGTAAACTTCGTTGCATACAAATGATGCATCACAAAGCTCCACTTGGCATATGACTCATCACAAATAGACAAGTCATCAAAGACATGTGGCACCAATCAAGCAAAGGAAGTACAAAACCTTCCCAAAAGTTGGCAAAATGGAAAAAATCTCCTTAAAATCGGCAAAGGGCCCAAATTGCTCCCAAAACCAGAAAGAAAGCTAAAACATCATCACAATACAAGCAAGAATTAAAGATTGCTCACAAAATAGGCAACAAGCATTATAGATTTTGGCCAAGCAAGGGAAAGTGGCTGAAATTAAGATAGAAAACATGCCTAAATTCTCCCATGGACGAATCAAGACACAAATCAAAGCCAAATCCATATAAGGGCAAGCTTTGAGAAGTCTATAAATACAAGGTCCTCAGACAAGCATAAAGGTCGTCAATTTTTTACATTCAAAGGCTGAAATTCTCACATTGAGAAGAACTTCTGCCAAATCTTCGATTCAAGATCCAGTCACCAAAACCCTTGAATCAACAAAATCCCACATGAACATCACCTTTGTCACAAATCATACGCAAACCTAGAAGTGAAGACTATCCACGCATTGTTTCAAGCTCAAAACTTGAAACAATCGTTCAATTGTCCGTCCAAGATCAAGTCATCGCAATCCTTGGATCAACAACTTACGCATCTACTTCAAATTTAAAGACTAAATCAGAGGAAAATTGTAAACATAGATTGTAATGATAAAAGCATATTTATGCAACTTTGTTATCTTATTTCTTTGCATTTATTTCGTTAATTTCCATTTATTTTGGTAATATATGTTATTTTCATATTATTGTAGGTCTGGTTGGTAAAGATGACAATATATAGTTAAATGGAGCAATTTGGAGCAGTTTTGGACTTGGTTGGATAGCATGCGTGGATAGCATTTGGGTTGGACGTTTTTGGTGTTTAAATGGTGTTAGACATGTGCTAAACTCTGGAGAAATTAAAGTTGAGGCTTGGAAGACAAAGAATTACACAAGAAAAAGGAATCCTAGTGGGAGGAGCATTATTTTATCCTATCTTATCCAAACCTTATCCTATTTTATCTTATGTCCAGCAACAAGAAGCAATCCTAATCATATTCCAACACTTTCTACCTGATTTTTAGAGTCCTAAAACAACTCAAAAATGCCAAAACCCTTTCCTCCTTGGATTCAGCCATTTTCCCATATATATATGAACTTCCTGCAACGATTTAGAGGGTGCCATGCCTACCATTCATCCATTGAAGTTGCTGGAATGTTCAGTGTTCTTTCTATCTTTGTTTTAAGTTTCAATGTTTATTTTAGATTGCTTTCCAGTTATGATGAACATGTGTAACGGATAGGAGCATATTCATGCGACTTAAATGGCTTGTTCTCGTGCATTTACGTTATGTTTCTTTAGTTATTTTAGTACTTTAAGCTATTTTCGTGTGTTTGTAGGTCCAAAGGGCTAAAGGAGCAAAAAGATGCATTTTGGAGACTTTTGGAGCACTTTTGGGCTAAGGATGGATAGCTTATGCTTGGAGCCAAAGTGTTGGACGAAATTGAAGACCTAATTGAAGACCAAAGTGTTGGAACCTTGTTCCCTTTAGTTTTAGGACATTTAAACCTTTCCTTTATCCTTAGCCGTGCATAACATTCCAACATTTCAATCACTTATCACACACCACATATCACTTATCACATATCATTCACTACTTATCATTCACCACTTATCACTAAACCAACTTTGCACATACATTCATCATAACCATGCCGTGCATCCCCTTTACATTTCAGCATATTCACATGCATTTCATCCTTTAAAACAACCCACATGCACTTTAATCATTCAATCACACATCACCCATTCCCCTTTGCCGTGCAAAACATGCACATCCAACACACCATTCACCCTAGTTCTAATCAGCCAACACATGCATTTACTCATTCAATCAAGAACTCCACATGCACAAACCTCTCATTGTCGTGGCTACCCATCCCAATTCCCCTTCTTTCCAACATAATTCACATGCATTTCAGATTGCATTCCCATTCTTTAATTCAACACAACCATGCACTCCACATGCATTTCCAACCTAATCACTCACCCACACAATCTGCCATCACTCACCACAAACAAGTCACATGCATTCATCAATATATC